GTTATTCTAATGATAAGATAAGTGTAGAAGATTACGTTCAGTTAGCAAGCGGACATGATGTGTCGAACGAATTTAATAAACCATGGGAAAAAAGTTTCACCAATGGAGTAGTTATTCCAAATGATAAACAAACTAAAGTTTTTAGAAGTTATTTGAATAATGTTAAAAGAAAACCACCAAACAGTGAAGGAATTATGTATCCTTACAACGACAAGGATGAGTATAGTTTTGATGAAAACTATGAATTTGATGATTTCGATTATCTTACTATTCAAGAAGAGAATGAAGATTGTTTTAAATGAAGTTGAATGACAATTTCTTCGTTGCCAAAGTCTATGAACCTGTTTTTACCGTCTTTGATTTCCAGATTTATATCTTTGATCATGAAAGAATTGACTGGTAAATAGGTCGTTTGAAACGGTTTCTCTATAATTCTGTATCCGATCGGCACCGTAAAAGTCGGTATGCTGTATATGATTTGGCGTTTGTGCTTGTTGAAAAATCCACCGTTGATCAAATTACAGTGAATGTTGATCACGTCGATGTCGTTCTCGATGTTGGCCTTGTGCGGCGCCAATGTCGATTGCGCGTATATTCGTTTATCGAACCCTAGTAACGCATTCAACGAATTTTCTACGTTGAAATCGACTTGAACGTTATTTCTCAAGATCAGTTTCATTTTGTTCAGGATCAAATTACCTTCGAATTCGATATTGTTTTTGCCGTTCACGCTTCCTGCGTATTCGGATAGGTAATCGTTGATGACCACGTGTTCGTAGCTTCCCGCTAGTAAGCTTATGGTTTTGAACGTAACTCCGTTATCCGTCGATATTTTTAGTTGATTGTTTTTTCGTTGATGTTTCTAATGGAATTGTAAACGGAGAAATACTTTAATCCCAGTTCGTACTGTTTATTGCGATGAGTTCATACTCGTAGTCTAGAGACAATTTGATGTCTGATTTATTCGAGGTGATAACGAACAATTGTTCTTTATTGGACATTTTTATTGACGTTTTTATAGTCTTTTTTAGTGATGATTTTTTTCTCCAAAAGCCGTTTTAATATGCCATTGACTTCGTTGTATTGTCTGTCCGATCGATGACCTTCCTTCGATGACCTTCCTTCATGGCCGCTAATATTATTTCTAATCTATTAAGCAATTCTTTATTGTTGTCGGATAAAAACGTTATACCTTGTCCAGATGCCACCATATCATCGAATTCGTCTATTTCTTGTATGATTGGATAATCTTCTGCATAATCATCTACATCCTCTTCATCTTGCTCAATAACTTTTGTTATATATAAATCAACTTCTTTCAATCTTCTTGTTTCGGGTCCTGACTTTCTGATCGCATGTAGAAATTTTGAGTATGATACTAAATCCTTGTAATCGGCAATTTCAACATCCTCGCCATTCATTAAATCTATTAACCCTCTCGTTAATGTAAATATAAAGTCTTTTGTATCGATTTTGAATTGTGGTGAATTTCCACTAAATCTTATTCTAAAACCATTAAACAACAAACCCTCATCATCAACGATTGGTGAAATGCTTTTTGGTAAATCTGGGTCAGGGTTTGAAAAAAGACGTTTTATATCATCTAATGTCTTAATTATAATACCATTATATTCAATCGCTTTTGGTTCTATACGAGGGGAGGGTTCTATAACGAGTCTCTTTTTAATATCTTCTTGACTTTTTGATATGGGTTGAAATAGAGTCTGTAGATTTTCCGTTAATCCGAGTTGTTGCAATCTGTTATTTTCAACTTGGGTCTTTATTTTATCCTTAGCTTTGATATATTCTCTATTTCTTTTTAAAAAATTATTCCAATCCGTCATTTTTAAAAAAATAAAATTAACATATATCGATCATAACTCTTTCTCCCGCAGGTTTTCTAGTATTTACAAATACATATCCATGATCATCTGGGTTTCTCCATTGAGCTTTACAAACCTTTTTAAATGTATCTCTATCCATTCCGTGATTTATAGACTGAATGATTTGAGATAAATCTTTATCGTTTAATTCAAATAATAAAAAACAATTTGCATTTTTTCTAATGAACATAGAATCCATCCCGTAAAAAGATTGGGATTGGTGTATGCAGTGACAGTTGTGATGTCTTCCTTTGGTGAAGAATTCTTGTTGAACAGTTTGATTTCTTTGCGCTACGCAGTCGTCAAACAATATTAAGTTCTTTCGATTGCTATCAATATTAGACAAGTCTAGATCATTAACATTTTTCGTAAGAAAAACTTTTATATCCGTTGGATTGAAAGATGGATTCTTTGATTTAATGAAGTTTTCTATGATATCTTTTATTTCCACTTCTTCTTCGTTTTCTTCGTAATATTGAAATATGTCTGAACGTCTTTCTTTGGTAAATATTCT